ATAGCAGTCTGTGTGTGTGTGCATGGACTCAGCAGTCTGTGTGTATGGACTCAGCAGTCTGCGTGTGTGTGTATATTTACTCAGCAGTCTGTGTGTGTGTGTATGGAATTCAGCAGTCTATGTGTGTGTGTGTGTATGGACTCATTAGTCTGTGTGTGTGTGTGTATGGACTCAGCAGTGTGTGTGTGTGTATGGACTCAGCAGTCTGTGTGTGTGTGGACTCAGCAGTCTGTGTGTGTGTATGGACTCAGCAGTCTGTGTGTGTGTGTATTTACTCAGCAGTCTGTGTGTGCATGGACTCAGCAGTCTGTGTGTGTGTGTGTGTGTGTGTGTATGTGTATATGGACATATCAGTCTGTGTGTGTGTGTGCATGGACTCAGCAGTCTGTGTGTGTGTGTATTTACTCAGCAGTCTGTGTGTGTATGGACTCAGCAGTTTGTGTGTGTGTGTGTATGGACTCAGCAGTCTGTGTGTGTGTGTGTGTATGTGTGTATGGACTCAGCAGTCTGTGTGTGTATGGACTCCGCAGTCTATCAATAATTAAAATTCCTGTGAGTTGTTGTGTAGGAAGGGCCCCAGTGCATTGCTTTGCCCAGGGGCCCTTAACTCTGTTAAAATGGTACTGCTTGTGTGTGTCAGTGAGCTTCTATTTAGTGAGCATATGTGTGTCAGTGAGCTTGTCTTTAGTGAGCTTGTGTGTGTCCCTGAACTTCTTTGTAGTGAGCCTTCTGTTTATACAAGTGAGCTTGTCTGTAGTAAGCTTGTGTGTGAGTCAGAGAGTTTTGTCTGTCAGTAAGCCTATTTGCGCATGTCAGTGAGCTTCTGTGCTTACTGTACAATATATATATATATATATATATATATATTGACTTGTAGGAATGGCATACATTTTTTTTCCAGGGCTGCTTTGGATTCCCAGGGATTCCCAGTTTGGCTCTGCCAGCTAGTGCACTTTACCGCTGAATCATCTGTGTGAGCTGCCACACACTTTAGCCCTGTTACACGCGTCTGGGAGCTGCTGTTGACAGGTACTAGTAGTCTAGAGATTGGGACATGGGGTATATGCTCAGCTGTCTGTATAATACAGATCTGTGTGTATATAATATCCCGGGATAGTCAGTGATTCCTGTATAGTGCTGCTCTCTGTATAATACAGGCCTGTGCCTGTATAATATCCCGGGACAGTCAGTGCTCCCTGTATAGTGCTGCTCTCTGTCTTGGGATATTATACACAAACAGACCTGTATTATACAGAGAGCAGCACTATACAGGGAGCACTGAGTGTCCCAATTTATTATACACACAACCCTGTATTATACAGAGAGCACTGACTGTCCAGGGATATTATACCCAGACAGTAATTTATAGCTGTGCTGGAAAATGTCCATGGACATTTTTTTTCAAATGTTGGCAACTATGGCACTGTATCAAGGGTAATGTGTTTGTTTTTTTAATAATCCCTGGTGGAAAATAATGAATCCTCCACCAGGTATTATTAAAAAAACAAAACACATTGTGTCGGAGGCGGGGCTTAACATGCAACAGGGGCGGGGTCAAACTGCGGCAAGGGCGGGGTTAAATGTGCCCCCCTACTTTTGTCCCTGGCCCTCCGTGTGCCCCCCCTAAAAATGAATCCTAGAGATGCCACTGGTCATCTGTCACCTGGACTTGATTAGACATAAATGGTGACTCAATATTATCATTACTCACAGTGGAGCCTATAACATCATCCTCAGAGATTGATAACTCAGTTGGATTTCAATCTGTTACATGAGGTTGTATAATGATAGATCTATCTGATCATAGTTGAAAAATATTTCTTTAGAGTTAAAGCTCTTACAAATTTATTTGCATCAATAATAGTTGAAAAAAAGATCAAAATCTTTAGATGGACAAACGTTAATTCCGCTAGATAGTAGAGACACTTCACCCTCAGTTAGAATTTGTCTAATGTCCACAAATTATTTGAGGAATAATGTATAGTATAGTAAATTACCTAATTACACTTAACTAAAACAAATGCACTTGCTGTCCACTTGGACCATGTTGTGGTTCTGTCTTTGCAAGGTCATTATGGTTATGATTCGAGGTCTGATCTTTTCCACCTAATTTTCTTAATTTATAAATAAATATATCTGCAACACTTCATGGATGGAAGGGCATCATGGAT